ATTTTCTTCACTTATTTGACATAGAACTGACTCTAGACACCTCGGTTAAGCATCAGGGTGCAGCTAAGGATCGGCATGAAAAAGGTGTGTGTAACGAGATATCCTATGTCTTGTTTGTTACATAAATACCAAATTATCCATCTACACATTTTAATGCCAGGTAATTTTATCTACATGACACCTGTTTAAGGGTCAGCAGCTTGTATGCTGCCACAAAATGTAGTATTAGGTTTATAGTGCATGTAACATAAGAATAGTTGTATTGAGTGCATAGGATAAATGATTCCACAAAAAAAGTCACCAATAAATAGTCATTAACATTACAAGATTTAAGCCACTACAAATGCACCATTTGTTTATGAGCTTTGATCGATTTTTTTCGGGGGAATATAATTGTTAAACAATAAATGCAGAAAAAGTACTTTTGAAGGGTTTGTAGATATTTGAAGTCCCAATGAAATCATTACAACTCGTGCAGAATATTTTTAAATTTTAAGCCCACATTGACTACAAACGCAAGTACCAGTCGAAAACCGCGGTAATTTTTAAAATGTCTGGTATAATTTTAAAATGCGCAACTAATGCTTAAGTGGGATAAAGGAAATAACACATATATGTGGTTCCTCTAAGACATTAGTCATAGCTATTCAAGATCATGCGCAAAATATTTCATGACAAACACTGTATTCCATATTTCTTATTCCGAGGACTAAGCCGAGGAAATTCTAACACCGCTGGAATCTCATTATCTACCTAAATCCTTATTGATTTTTTTGATTAGGTTATTTTTTGTCACTTAATATACATTTTTTGTGCTGTTATAAATCCGATCATTATAATACTAGGGCAAAATTTTACAAATTTTAACAACTGTGCTTAATAGTACACTTGATTATAAACCGGCATCTATGAATATTCTGATTCTGCGGGTCTTCTGACGGAGTGTTATTGAAATTGCTTTTAAAGACTTTGTAATTATTGCTGCTGATTCCAGAACTAACTTTTCTATCATGACAGTAAAAGGCGATGCTGACAAAATGTTCAAAGCAAGTAATCATGGTGTTATGGCTGTCTGTGGTAAGGCTGGCGATGCTGTTCAATTTGCTGAATTTATTCAAAAAAAACATGCAACTGTACGAGATTAGAAATGGTTATGAGTTGATGCCGTTATTCGGCTGAAATCTTTATCAGGAGAAATTTGGCTGAAGCACTTTGCAGCAAAACTCCGTACAATTTTAATTTGCAACTCGCTGGTTACGACCCGAAGGACGGACCTCAGTTGTACTGTATGTTTTATCTGGCTTCCATGATTAATGTAACGTATGCTGTACATGGGCATGGCGTTTTCGTTACTCCTGAAATTTCAGATAGCCAGTACGATTTATTTGTTGAGCGTCAACAGGGCTTTTAAACTTCAGGAAAATTGCGTCCTCAAGCTGAAAAAACGATTTGATGTTAACAACGATCGGTTCTCTGTTCGCGTCGTGAATAAGGAAGTAATCCATCACCTGCCTGACCTGGTTTAATTTGTCCTTTTCCATATAATAAAGCGTTTTTCAATCTGAAGTGCCTTGTAAGGATAGTGGTACTTTGATATTAGCGAAAGGTGCCCTTATGCGGTTTTATATGGATCGTTGTCGGTGTAAAATCTGCAAGTCGTGAATGTCGCTTTATTTACAAAAAAGGTCTCATTACATAGTTTGGGGCGATAAATTGTTTTAGTCTTGTGTCTAAAATTATCGTTGCCTTAATTTCCTCTACGATCATTTTTGATCTAATGATTCCTCCCCCTTTTGCTAAGTTGTACCAATATTTCACAAATCTGATGCAGTGTGTTTCAATTGGCAAGGCCTCAGTATGCCTTAGCTCGTATTTCTTGACTGCCCCGAAAATGTACCTCGCATTTGTGTTGCTACCTTGCATCGCTTTAATCTTATTGACAATTACTGCTTAATTTACTGCTCTCTAGCGAGGTATGTGTTTAGTTGTGTTAGTTTGTCATTGTGCAGACTGGATCGGTGCTCATGCACGTCAATTTTGAGCCATTTTTAGAATTCCATTGCCTCATGTTGGTGTTAAAATTGTTATTGAACTAAAGCGATTAGTACTTTGGCCGCTCGTTCCATTAACGCTATTGGGGTTACGCATTTACGGGTGTTCTGCTACGCTAGTCTTTGTTCTCGTATGTCTATACCTCGGTTTACTTACTGTTTTAATGCTGATGAAAGCGCTCATGCTGCGATACTCTTGCTCTTCGACTTCTGGATACGACGAATACCTGAATACAGACAAATTTGTGAATAATAGGTAACTTGATCACCATTAGTTACCAGCGTATAGTTGTCAATTGTTAAGTTGCTGAACTAAAATGCCTCAACTTTGTGGAGATTTGGCTCCTAGGCTAAATTTCGATTTGGACCACACAGCAACGGAGAGGCGTCCGACCGTTAGTAAATTATTGCGACGGCATTTAACAAAATCGCTTTTGTCGCGGCTGGGTGCTTGAGGGTTGCGTTGACAGGAATTTATCACGCCTTTGAAAGGTCTGTATTACTAGCCCGAATCGGTCGATGAAAATTTACTACCTTTTAACTATTGCTTCAGTGCGATGTAGACCAAGTGGTTTTTCCATATTCAAATTCGGAAGCGCCCCATTTGATACTTTTCCTTATTCATGCTAGAAATGAAAGCATTGTTGATGGATGAATTCACCCAATCCGATTCAGCCGGCACATGCCCAGTGAAATGTCGGAATGTCTGAGCTGCTTTGAGTAACTCGGAATTTTCAGAAGTTAATCAGCATTAGTCGTGTTAACTGTCAAAAGTCCTTGTTTCTCCAATAGTTTTGCGTGAAATTAGGGTGGTAAAAGTGTACTGCCACTAGAATCATCATACTAGTGAATAGCAGTAATCACTGGTTCCTGTAATGCGAAATTGGGTCGATTTAAATTCCCTGTTTGATCCATTGTTTGTCTCCTTCAAAAGTACCTACTACGTGGAAATCGGGACCACGTGACACTGTTCCAGAAGGCTTGAAAGAATTAATATGGTGGGCAATGATTGTACCTTGTAAGTTAGGTTGTGATGGACAGCATTCATTCTTTACGTGACTTGACTGGTGACAAATGTTTTAGTTCTACAATTTCTTCTGTGCTTTGTTTGTAGTATGAAATGTCAAGAAACCGATAAAACACTCCCTTTTGTCCTTCTTTGTCTTCTAAAGCATATTTGTTAAATCACCCTATTGAACGACCTTCGTGTCAAATTTGTATAAAACTATCGCTACTACCTATGAAATAAGTAGGACGGATTTAGCATTTCTGTAGTTAATGTCCGAAAGTCGCGTTTTTATCAGGCGGACACCTGATGCCTCTAATAATACTTTACTGCACTGTTTAAATTAGACCCGGTGTAGTGGAGAGGTTAAGCTGTTAAGAGGCGTTGGAATTTGATCTCAATATGCTTGCATATCTCATAATCAAGTAAATAGTAGGCCGAGCGTTGATTCTATCCCGTCACCATGCCGTAAATGTCTTTACCAAACTTTTTTGTGCATATATATATGTATATCGGTTAATTTGCCGTTGTTGATCCAACAAGCCCTGCCTACTCACAGGCGACAAGCATGGACCTAGTTTACACCTCAGTGCCATCCTCCAAACATGTTGAATGCCTCACGTCCACGACCTAACGAGCCTCGTTTCGTTGTGCTTTAACAAAAAACGCCAAATTTCTCTGCAGCCGTAGAATCAGTGAGTGATACCCAGTACTACTCACACTTAGACAAGTTAACACCTACTCAGGCGCTATTCCAAGTCCCTCTTCCCTCCCTCCTCCCCCGACAAACCCCTCTATAACCCCACTTTCTATCAAAAATCCATGGTGTTGAAGACCACGACGACGACTGCACGAGTGTAAGGCAACCATTCAATTAAATTTAGGTGCGTCATTAACCAACTGCCAATCGTCTCAGTGGGAAATAAAGTAAAATGCATCTAACTAATTGTCGTTCCACGTCAAGTCGAGGCATTCCAGAACTAACTTAAAATGAGGCAGGTTTTTTGCAATTCGACACCCGCCGCATAACTTGAAGTTTTCCGTTAACCTGCCGTTCTTGATCCAACAAGCCCTGCCTACTCACAGGCGACAAGCATTGACCTAATTTACACCTCGGTACCATCCTCCGAACATGTGGAATGCCTCACGTCCACGACCTAACGAGCCTCGTTTCGTTGTGCTTTAACAAAAAACGCCAAATTTCTCTGCAGCCGTAGAATCAATGAGTGATACCCAGTACCACTCACACCTAGATAAACTGATACGTTTGACTGTAACAAACAGGAAACCACTCAAATAACGGTACCAGATTCCTAGCTGAAGCTAGAACAGACCTTCCCAGGCTAATAAAAGAACAAGGCCAGAGCTCGTGTAGAGAGCTTTATTCACGTCAGCCACGTGCATAGTGCAGTCCGGAAGTCGAAACTAATTCAAGTCAGGGTTGACCTTGACCAGATAAATGCGTAGCAAAACAAATGTTAGTGAATAAATGTAAATAGCATCAGAAACCAATCTTGGGGAATCGTGGTTCCCCAACAAAGACATTCCATAAGAGTTAGTCAAATAAACATGAAAAACAAAACGAAATTGAAGAACCATACAATCT